GGTTGATATATTTACAGCATTTAGAAGAGTGCTTGTTGCTTAATGTATTAATTATCTATTGGTATATAACCTATTCCTACGGACTTAGTAGTTTAAAACAACACGCATTTATTATTTCACAGTTTCTATGGGCTAGACTCTGGCATGGCTTAGTTGGCTCCTTTGCCTCAGAGTCTCTCACTGGCGATAGTCAAGGTATCAGCCAGGGTTGGATTCTCATCTGAAGCCTTGACTGGGGAAATATTGTTTCCAAGCTCATGTGGTTGGTAGAATTCGGTTCCTCCAGGGTTGTTGGACTTAAGAGTCCAAGTTCCTAGCTGACTCTTGGCTAAAGCCGGTCATTAGTGTTTTTTTTGTTTGTTTGTTTTTTGTTTTGCCACGTGGGCCTCTTCAATATGGTAGATTTCTAAATCAGAGTGTGCAGACTGAGAAAGCAATGAGAGAAAACAGAAGTCATAATCTTATGTAACCCAGTAACAGAAGTGAAGTCCTGTCACTTTTGCCCTGAGTCACAGATACTGCTCACACTGAAGGAGAGGAGATTACACCAGTAAGTGGACGGGGTTGATAGCAGGTGGGATCCTTGGGAACCGTCTTAGAAATCTCCCTGCTACATTTAGTAAGCACTTTGTGTTAGCTGCTATTATTATCATTATTGTGCTAATGGGAATGATTAAGCAGAGAAGGCAATAGAGGAGAGAAAGGGTATACTTGAAGGAAAGATGTCCTCGGTTAGTTACATAACAGGGAAAGAAATTCAGTGCACAAGTGGAGAGATTGGCCATAGTTTATCCATTGTTTAAAGAGGGTAAAGCGAGTAAAAGGATCCAACTGTGGCTAGGTGGTAGATGTAGAAGTTTAGATTTGATGGTTTGCTTTTTCTCAGTGGAAGAGGAAGTCAGGTCAGCACAGAGGGAGGAGGAAGGAAGAGGTGTAGGTTCGAGAAGTGAAAAGAGAACATTTGAATAATCAGGAGTGAGGAACTGAATTGACTAGGGAGATGTAGTTAACTTGCCAGATGTCACTAAGGGCTTACTTGACGTTTGTAGCCATGTATTTAATGTGAGACCAGCTAGCATGATCGTGAGCTTTCCTTCAGCTGCTCAGGTGCAAGTGTGGCAGAGAGGTGGAATAACACAATAAAATAAAACCATGGATAAATTATAAATTAATGAAGAAAAGTAGAGATTGGCTTTAATCAGGATTAAGGTTCTGCCAGGCCAGTATGACGGAGGAAGATAAAGGCAAGGGAATGATTATAGTGATGGACCATGGAATCTAGTTTCCTTAAAGAGAGAAATGAGGACATAGCAGATGGGGGACAGTGAGAAGATGTTAATTAGAGTCAGCGAATTGAAGGGCTAGAAGAATTGTTGGGAGTCAAAGTGAGGCGGGAAATTAAAGAAAGAAAAATAAAGAGAGAAATAAGCTTTCCTGTATTAGGCTGACTTGTCCCAGAGGGAGCAATGGGCACAGCCCAGACCCAGGAAAAGTCTTGATAATACTATCTAAGAAGCCAGGACACAAAAGAATGTGCTCTGGAGACTCTCCCAGCACTCCTTCAACATAGGGAGAAGAAAAACAAATTTTCCTTTGTTTTATGGCATCAGTTTGTAAATTCCTGTTCTCTGTAACTGGTGACTTCTAGTCTTCTGTTTTATCTAATCAGTGGGGTGAAGTTCATAAACCATCTGAGCAGGCCACCTGGGCGCCATAGTGAAAGCCATGGAATAAGCTGTGCTAGGCACTAGGCAAACCTAGATAGTGGACATCTGGGCTGCATAGCAGCAGTCATGTGTAATCCTGAGTTGTGAACCTGTTACAATTTGATTAACCGTCTTTGTCCTGCCTCTGTATCCCTGCATTCGTGCCGCTGTAAGCCTGCTTCAAGCTAGCCCACCCCTTTTTAAGGTGTGTATAAAAGTCAAGTGCTGTCTTTGTTCTGGGCCCGGTCTTTGAATGTTAAGTCCGTTGGGTCTGAGTGCACTCAGTAAAGATATCCTCCTGTATTCACCCCAAGGTCTCTCCCTGGTTCTCCTGATTCCACAACAGAAGTACTAAGGAGAGAGCTAGGAATTTAGGAGATGGTGCTCAGAATAATTGCTTGAAATACAGGTTGTGAAAGGGATACTGCTGTTGATAATGAGAAATTCGTAGGCTGTCCAACAGATAATGTTGTGGACATTTGCTTCTTTAACCAGTATCCATTTACTTTGACACTGTTGCAGAATCTTGACTGTGCTTGTGGAAACCAGTGCTTCCCCTTTTCAATCTGTGTGATTTTAGTGATGTTGACTACCCTTCCCCAAAGATGTCATTGACTCAGCCTGGCCAGTGAAGTATCTAATCTCTGGGAACAGTGATAGGTCTAAGGAAGGGCACACACCCTTGTCAGCTTCATGAAAGACAAATTTTTGCTGGGGACTTCTGGGAAGGAGACTTGTGCTCTTCAGGAGCTGCCTCTGCCATCTTGCTACCTGAGGTGATAGGTAAGAAATAGTGAAAGAGTCCTGGGGACATTGTTTGAGCCCTTAATGAGGCCACCTTAAAGCTACCTCTGGAATTTTTTGTTATTTGTCACATTAAATCTTCTTTTAAGTGGGTTTTCTGTCACCTGCAATCAAAGGAGACCGAGTGGGTAGATACAGTTATCATAAGGAGTTTGCCAAATCCTCTTAGCTTGTTTGGATGAATGGAGTACAGTGTAGTGGAAGTTCTGTTGAGATATGGAATCTTCGAAATCCTCTTTCCCTTAGATCTTTTACGTACTCTTCTTTAGCACATATACCCTCCTGAGAGGTAGTATGGTCTAGTGAAGAAAGCAAAAGACCTGTCCGGAGTTGAGTCTTGAATCTGATCCTAGCTACCTGAGTTATTTCAACCCTCTGAACCTCAGTTTTCTCATCTGTAGGGTGAGGAGAATGTGATTTTGCAGGGTGATTGGAAGGATGAAACGGGATAATGGATGTTTAGCATGGTACCTGACTGACTCAAGTATATTGTCTAACTCTTTTTTTTTTTTTTCTTTTTTTTGAGACAGAGTCTCTCTCTGTCACCCAGGCTTGAGTGCAGTGGAGTAATCTCAGCTCATTGCAACCACCACCTCCTGGGTTCAAGCGATTCTTGTGCCTCAGTCTTCCACGTAGCTGGGACCACAGGCATGTGCCACTGTGTCTTGCTAGTTTTTGTGTTTTTAGTAGAGACAGGGTTTCGCCACGATGGCCAGGCTGGTCTCGAACACCTGACCTCAAGTGATCTGCCCTCCTCGGTCTCCCAAAGTGCTGGGATTACAGGAGTGAGCCACCACGCCCGGTGCACCCGTAATGTTTAATAGTTGTTCAGTAACTTTGTTTATTTATTTGTTTTGTCTAGATGGAGTCTTGCTCTGGCACGATCTAATTTTTGTATTCTTAGTAGAGGTGAGGTTTCACCATGTTGGCCAGGCTGGCCTCAAACTCTTGACCTCGTGATCTGCCCTCCTCGGCCTCCCAAAGTGCTGGGATTACAGGCGTGAGCCACCACGCCCAGCCCTGTTCAGTAACTTTTAGTGTGAGGAGTGCGTATGTAAGTGAACAAATACCATCAGGGGCTTCTTTTCACCCTTCAATTCCTGAATTTTTGCTGTTCCAAGGTACTGCAATTTATTTGACTAGTGGTCAAGTGGTGTTTTTTTGTCTTGCTAGGTAGAATTTCTTTCCTTCTCAGCTTTGGCAGCTGGACTATCATTCCAAATTTATCATGAAAAAATAATGACACCTGACACTGAGTACTTGCTTTGTGTAAGGCATTATGCTTCATACTTGGTGTATCTCATTTACTCCTAATAATAGGATAGCTTTCGAAGTATGCACTGATTCGAGTCCAAATTACTTTTTAGAAGAAATGAGATAGATAAGTTATATAATAGGGATTCGGCATATATCGTCTACTTCTCCTTTTTGAGAATTATAGTCCTTTTGATTGCATGTATCCAGTTACAGACACAATATGGTGTATTGGTTAAAAACACAGTCCCTGGAGGCAGACTGCCTGGGTTAGAATCCTGGCTCCATCTTTACTAATTATATAACCTTGAGTAAATTGTATAGTCCCTCAGTGCCTCAGATTCATCATCTGTAAAATGGGGGTAATAGACCTGTTCCATAGAGATGTGAGGATTAAATGTGTCAATCTATATGAAGTGCTTACAACAGTGTCAGGAAGGCAGGATTATATAAATGTTAGCTATGCTGTTTGATGACCCTTTTATATTAGCAGCTTCTTCTTCACAGTAGTCAAAGTTACAATTTTCTACATAATAAAACTTGACTTTTGAAATAATCTTAAGCCCAGTGGTGTTTCTAAATCATGCTATTACTGTAGTCAGTGCTGTTCTCTTCTGAGAAGCCTTTTCTGGTAACCTTTCTGTTCTGTGACCTTTAATTGGACTGACTTGGGAAGATAAGTTAGTGCTTTATTATTGTTAGATTATTTGACCTATGTTAGTTTTGTGTTGCCACCTCGATTAAGCTCTTTTGAGAGCTAAAATCATTTTTTTTTCTTTGAGACGGAGTCTTGCTCAGTCGCCCAGGCTGGAGTGCAGTGGCTGGATCTCGGCTCACTGCAAGCCCCGCCTCCCGGGTTTACGCCATTCTTCTGCCTCAGCCTCCCAAGTAGCTGGGACCACAGGCGCCTGCCACTGCGCCCGGCTAGTTTTTTTTATTTTTAGTAGAGACGGGGTTTCACCGTATTAGCCAGGATGGTCTCGATCTCCTGACCTTGTGATCTGCCCGCCTCGGCCTCCCAAAGTGCTGGGATTACAGGCGTGAGCCACCATGCCCGGCGCTAAAATCATTTTTTACGTGTCTTCATATTTCATGTAGTATAAAACATACAGTGATAACTTGATAATGATCCCTTATTAGAGGCAGAAAATAAAAATAGAAGCAGTATATTGTTTCGTGTTTGAAAAGATCTGTTATCATCTAAAATAGTCTTATTAGTGTTTTACTTTGTTTTAGGTTCCCAAATATTTGTCACAGCAATGGGCTAAAGCCCCTGGAAGAGGTGAAGTTGGGAAACTGCGGATTGCCAAGTAAGTTATTTAGATATTCTTGACATTTTGAAAAGCTATTTTTGAAATTTTTGTAAATGCTTTTAAATGTGATTATAATTTCTGATCAGAGAATTTACTTGGAAAATGACAAGTAATGAACATGTCAAGGCTTGTCAGGAGATGGTTAGGTACCCTGTAAGGAGACATCCGTGCAATACACACATCCCCACCCCCACACTCCTAGTGACAGGTGGTATAAATATAATATCAAGTTTATTGGTTTACTTTAATGGCGGTGAAGCAGCAGAGTATGTAGTTCTTTCACCCCTCCATCCTGTCTGCCTCCATGAGCAGGTGTGCTTGGGTTGGGTATAACTGGATGCACCCGGGAAAGTGCTTGCAGTAGGACTTTGCCACTGTACCACTGGGCCTACTTACAGGTGCTTTGGAAGTGGGTAGGGAGTATGTAGAAAACAGTGTAACGACATAGTTTTCTCGTTGAGGAAATAGCCCTGTTAGAAAGGAAAGCCTCTAAAGCTCAGCTAGTGTCAGCTGGAGGCCTTGTGTTCTATTCTTTCCATCCATTCATTCTTAACCAGCTCCAGTCAGATTCCTATGCCCATGATTCCATTGAAACAGCTCTTGTCTGTTACTGGTATCTTCCTCTTTATCAATTACTTTTTGCTTCATAACAAACCATCCCAAAACTTAGTGGTTTAGAACAAAAGCCATTTTATTTGCTCATAATTCTGTGGATCAATTCTGGTTGGGGCTGGCCTGGTGGCCTTCCTGGCGAGAGTGACCTCACTTGTGTGTGGTGGTTGATTTGACATCAGCAGGGGCACCGACTGTTTATTTCACCTCTAGCAAGCTCATTCACATGATGGTGAAAGAGTTCTAGTAGCAAAAGAGAAACGAAGCCCCAGTGCACAAGCACTTTGAAAGCCTGTGCTTGTGTCACGTTTGCTTAAAGTCCTTTTGACCAAAGCAACTCACATGGCCAAGCCGGATTCAGCTGTGGGAAAATAAGACTCCACCTGTTGATGGAAGCTGCTGCAAGAAAAATTTGTGTTCCTTATGTATTTATTTCAAAATATGGAATACTTCCGAATTCGCATGTCATCCTTGTGTAGGGGCCATGCTCATCCTCTCTGTACTGTTCCAATTTTAGTATATGCTGCTGAGGCGAGCACATGTTCCTTTTCTATAGTCTGCCACATCCACATTCCTAAATCCAAGAGTCAACTAGCAGCTCTCTTACTTGAACTTCAGTGGAATTTGACATAGTTGATCACTTTTTTCCTGAAACTTTGTTTTCCCACTCTACTCTAGGACACATCTCTTCTCCTCTCCCCTCATTGGCTGTTCCTTCTTAGTTTCTTGCTAAGCCCCTTCTCATCTTGTCTCTAAATGTTATGTGACCCAAGGACTCAGTCCTTAGTTCTTTCCTTTTCTCTCTTTTCACTTCCTGGGTGGTCTCATTTGGTCTCATGGCTTTAAGTACCAGGTGGTATTTAAATATATAGTTCAAGATGCTTCTGCCCTCCCTGGAGGCACCGTGCTCAGGAAGGTCCTGATTTTCTTTGTGTTCCATGCCCTGGCTGTGACTTTCTCCACACTACTCCCAGAATCAACCACTGACCTACTAGAATTGACCACTGATCTAGAGTTAACCGCAGACCGAGATTTAACCGTTAACTTAGACTTGACCACGGACCTGGAGCCAACCACAGAACACACAGGCTTTGGAATTCTCTACTGATGTGGAGTCAGCAAACTCTAGCTTTGTGGAGGAAGCTGCTGAGGCCATAGCCGATTATAATCCATGTCAGAGAGCTTGTGAGTGACAATTATGACATGAGTAAAGATTAATATTATTATTTTTCAAGACAGTGTCTCACTCTGTCACCCAGGCTGGAGTGCAGTGGCATGATCTCCGCTCACTGCGTCCTCCACCTCCCGGGTTCAAGTGTTTCTCCTGCCTCAGTCTCCTGAGTAGCTGGAATTACAGATGTGCACCACCATACCTGGCTAATTTTTGTATTTTTAGTAGAGATGGGGTTTCACCGTGTTGGCCAGGCTGGTCTCGAACTCCTGACCTCAAGTGAGCTGCCCACTTCGGCCTCCTAAAGCGCTGGGATTACAGGCGGGAGCCACTGCGCCTGGCCACGAGTGAAGATTATTATGAATGCTGTTTATTCCCAAGAGCCCATGATTAGAGTGACAGACAAGCTTAGCAGATTCACAGGAAACAATGAGTCCATCTCAGCGCATGTTTAAATAAAGCAAATTTTTTGTTAGCTGTGACTATCACTCTGTTATCCACTACTTTCTAAGAAGATTCTGAGCTTTAAGACAAGCCTGTCACTCCACTATAGGAGACTGCATAATGGTAGAAAACTAGTGAAATGTAGGATGTACCTAGCTGAGGAGAAACAGCAAGACATTGATCCTGGGTTGGGTGATGTAAATTGTGCATGGATGGGGCAGGGGCATTTCTTAGCTCTGTGTTATTTAATATGGACTCAATAAATGTTCATTTCAACTGAAAATAAGTAAAAATCAAAAAATATATTTACACACCTCTCTGTCTCTCCATATGCATGATTTTGACTGGGTCTTTGATGTTTGGACTGTGTCCTTGGATGTTTCAGAAGCATCTCAAACTTAATAATTGCTGTTCTTCTGTTTTTTCTCTCTGGAACACTCTCCCTTTAGGTAATCCCCATGGCTTACTCCCACATTTCTTTTCGGTCTCTGTTCACAGTTTCAGCTCATTGAGGTATTTTCTGGCCCCTATATGTAAAATAGCACCCTGTAGGCTCTACCTCCCTTACCTTCTTATTATTCACCATTCTTTTGTGTTGTTGTTATTTATTCTCCTTCTACTATACCCATCTGACATACCGTATATGTTTGTTTGTGTGTTGTTCATATCACCTACTAAAGTATAAACTCTACCAGGTCAGGATTTTTGTCTTAATGATTACTATATCTCCATTGTCTAGAACAGTGCTTGGCATAGTAGACACTGTGTTCTAAAGTTAGGTGGGGACAAGTACAGTTGTCCCTTAGTACCTGCAGGAGATTGGTGTCTGGCATGCCCCATCCCCTATACCAAAATCTACCATGCTCAAGTGCTTTATATAAAATGGCACAGTATTTACGTATAACCTACACACATCCTTCTGTGTACTTTAAAGCATATCTAGACTACTTATAACTAATACAGTGTAAAAACTGTGTAAATAGTTGTTACTATTTTTTTTCTCTCTTTTTTTGAAACAGGGTCTCACTCTGTTGCCCAGGAATACAGGCAACCACTGCAACGCCCAGCTAATTTTTTTTTTTTTTTTTTTTCCCGTAGAGACAGGATCTCCTTGTGTTGCCTAGGTTGGTCTCAAACTCCTGGGCTTAAGGGATCCTCCCTCCTCAGCCCCCAAAGTGTGGGCATTGCAGGTGTGAACCACCATGCCCAGCTGATTTTTAAAATATTTTCAGTCTGCAGTTGGTTGACTCCACGTATATTGAATATTCAGATATAGGGGGCCAAGTGTAATATCTCATTTTCTCAAGGAATGATTGAGTATACGTTCATAGTGGAGTCAGGCTTGTATTCTGGCCTTTTATTAGCCAGAAAACTCCAGCAGGTCCTAGTTGTAGCTCAATAATTTACTATAAGTGAGACTTTGTATAAGTCACTGAATCTTCTGACTTTAGATTTCTTATCTTAAAAGTTGCCTTTTTGCAGGGCTTTTATATTAATAATCCATTGAGATAATATGGAAATAGTTATTATTTATTTGTATATTTAAGTTTATAAGATGAACGTATTCCTGGAAAGTTGTAGATGTATCACATTTTTATGAGTTGTCATACTTTTATTGAAAGAGAAAAATAATATTGAAATCTACGGGATTTTTTTTTTTCTCCTCAATGTGAAGTTCTTTTTAATGTACATAATTAGCTACTGTTCTGTAATGAACATCAGAGTTTTTTATGTTAGGTTTTACTGAAATGGGAGCCACAACCTAGATAAAATCTCAAGAATGTATGTCACTGAAGAAAGGCAGGCTAAAGGAGAAAGGACTTAGATGATGAACCTCATGGTATTGTGGAGTGCCTTCACTATAGAGCTCAAGATCTGGCTTCTAGTCCTAAATGGCTGTTGATAGTTGTTTGGCTTTGGGCCTTACACTTCTTGTTTGTAAAATGTGGATAATAATGCCTTCCCAACCCATAGGATGTTTATAAAACAAATTAAATAGCTTAGCATTTGTTAAAATATTTGTAAACTCAAATGTTCTCCTTCCATGTAATATTCTTGTCCCACCATGAATATTATATTCCTGAAAACCTCTATGTAAAGAAAATACCTGGTTGAGAAATATAATATCTCTTTTTGGGAGGAGGGGGAAAAGATTACAGGAAAAAGAGTAAAAGGAAACAAGGCTGAGAGGAAACCCATGTAAATCTCAAGTACCACTTTGATCACTAAAGTAAAATATTAAAGATAACATGCTAAATAAGCAATAATGGGCATGCTGCAATTTTTCCTTATCAATCCTTTCCTGGTAGAAAATCTCAAGGTCTTTTTCTTAGTTTAAAGCAGATGGTCCACATAGTTGCATCTAATTCACATAGGGTGGCTAAACCTCCAGGTTTGCCTGGAACCCTCCCAGTTTATGTGTTTCCCTATGCAATTATTAGTGCCCCCGTTTCCACCCTCCAGGATGTCCTGGTTTTGATAATATAGTTGTCCTAAATGTTAGCAGATGTGTGTGTAGGGGTAGGGGTGAGGACGGTGGGTGGTTGTTCTATGCATTACCAGTCTGATTTATGAGCTGGCATTGTTTGATTTCTCTAGGGATCCAACCAAAGTTCCTTAGAAATACTGTGTGTGTGTTTTAGTGTATAAGTAATACTTCCTTGTTTTTTTCCTTTTAAATTTTTACAAAATGAAAAGGTCTCTGTTTTCCCCATTCACATGCGTCAGAGGTGGCCATGGGTAACTGCTTGGTATGTAACCCTCCAGGTTA